ATATTTGCACATCATGTACATGATAAAATACTTATATCCAGAATATATAAAGAACACTTAGAAGTCCATAAGAAGGCCGGGCTCATCCTGTAATCCCAGCACTTTGGGAAGCTGAGGCGAGTGGATTGCCTGAGCTCGTAGGTTCAAGACCAGCCCAGGCAACTTGGCGAGACCATGTCTCTACAATTAAATAAATAAATAGCCGGCATGGTAGCGCACATCTGTAGTTCTGGCTACTGGAAGGTGGAGGGGAAGGACCGCCAGAGCCTAGCAGGTCGATGCTGGAGTGACTGTGAGCGTGCATGCCACTGCACTCCAGCCTGGGCCAAGGAGTGAGACAGACAGACACACACACACACACACAAGTCCATAAGAAGATTCCAATTTTAAAAACGAATAAAGAATCTGGACTAACATTTCATTAAAAAAGATACACAGATGGCGATAATCACATGCAGATGGTCACCATCACTAGTCATCAGGAGAATGCAAATCAAAACTACAATGAAGCCGGGCTCAGTGGCTCAGTCTGTAATCCTGTGACTTTGGGAGGCTGAGGTGAGTGGATTGCCTGAGCCCGCGGGTTCGTGACCCACTGGGCAACTTGGCAAGACCTCATCTCTACAATAAATCAAAATGAACCGGGTGTGGTAGCGCGTGCCTGTAGTTTCAGCTACTTGGAAGGCTGAGGCGGAAGGATCGCCGGAGCCCAGCAAGTCGAGGCTGCAGTGGCCAGGAGCGGCCATTGCACTCCAGTCTGGGCGACAGAGTGAGACTCCAACTAAAAAAAAAAAAAAAATACTACAATGAGCTACCATTATATATCTATCAAAATGGCTATAATAAAAAGACACTGACCATACAAAGTGCTGGTGAAGATATGAAGAGTCTGAAACCCTCATAGATTGCTGGTGGGACTGTAAAATGGTACAGACATCTGGGTAAATAGTTTGGCCGTTCTTAGGAAGTTAAACAAATTTACTTCTAGGTATATCCACAAGAGAAATACAAACATATGTCCACGCAAAGACTTGTATACAAATGTACATAATTTATAATTATTCATAATAGCACAAACTATAAGCCAAATGAATAGCAGCTGGTAAATAAAATGTGAAATAACCAAAATACTACTCAGTAGTAAAAAGGAGCAAACTACTGGTACACTGAAAAACACTGAGAAACCTCGAAAACATACTAGTGAAAGAAACCAGACATAGAAACTACATTGTATTAATTTGTGTATATGAAATTCCTAGAAAAGGTAAAACTAAAGAGAAAGAAAATCAGTGTTTGGGACTAGGATAGGAAGCAGAAATTATTCACAAACAGGTATGAGAATTTTGTGGAGCAAGGAAAGTATTTTAAAACTGGATGTGGTGACAGTGTACAACTGCATACATTTACTAAAAATAAAAGATTTATATGCTCATAATGAGTAAATTTTATTGTATTTAAGTGACACCTTAATATAACTGTTTCAAAAAGAGCTTAGATATTACAGCACTGTCAAAATGCTGTAAGAGTTTCCTTTCTTTTAGACAATGTCTTGCTCCGTCACCAGGCTGGAGTGCAATGGCGCCACCATAGCACATTGCATCCTCAAATTCCTAAGCTCCAGCCTCTTGAGTAGCTGGAAGTACAGGCATGCACCACCAAGTCTGGCTAATTTTTTTTTTTTTTTTTAATCTTTGTAGAGACAAAGTTTTACTATGTTGCTCGGGCTGCTCTTAAACTCCTGGCTTCAAACTGTCTTCCCATCTCAGCCTCCCAAAGTGCTGGGATTATAGGCATGAACCACCACACCCAGCCTAGAGTTTCTAAACATTCTCCATTTCTATATATTTCTCCAGTTCACAGACAGGTACTAGTCTGTAAACCACACTCTGAAAAGCTCTGATCTGACTTCTGCTAGGCATTGGCTAAAAGGCTTGGAGCAATCAATAGTTGTAACTGAAATTGACTTAATTTAATTTAAGCTATTCAAGCTTAACTCCATTAAATATTTCATTAAGTAAGAAATTTACAGGCCGGGCTCAGTGACTCGGTCTGTAATCCCAGCACTTTGAGAGGCCAAGGCGAGTGGACTGCCTGAGCCCAAGGGTTCGAGACCAGCCCCGGCAACTTGACAAGACCTCATCTCTACAATAAATAAAAAATTAGCCAGGCATGGTAGTGCGTGCCTGTAGTTCCAGTTACTTGGAAGGCTGAGGCAGAAGGATCGCTGGAGCCCAGCAGGTCGACACTGGGGTGGCTGTGAGCTTGTCACTGCACTCCAGCCTGGGTGATGAAGTGGGACTCCAACTCAAAAAAAAAAGAAAGAAATTTACAAATTTATTAACAAAAGGAAAATATGAAAATATGATCTATTATATAATGAAAACAAACTGCATTACAAAATGTCAGTTTGTAAATGACATGCCACAACAGAAACTTTCCTAGTATCTTTCATTTTAATGTACTATAACTAAGTTCATAAATCAGTATAATTATAGATTATTTGGACTAATAAAACCCTAAGTGGCCAGGCAAAGTGGCTCACACCTGTAATCTCAGCACTTTCGGAGGCCACTATAGGAGGATCACTTGAGGCGAGGAGTTTGAGACCAGCATAGGCAACATAAGAAGACTCTACCCCTACAAAAAAACTTGTAAAAATCAGCCAGGTATGGTGATATACACCTGCAGTTACTTAAGAGGCTGAGAAGGGAAAATGGCTTGAACCCAGGAGATGGAGGTTATAGTGAGCTATGATTGCATCACTGCACTCCAGTCTGGGTAGGAGAACAAGACCCTGTTTCTCTAAAAAAAAAAAAACATTAAAACCCAAAGTAATAAAAAGTTAAAGGCTGAGGCGGAAGGATCGCCGGAGCCCAGCAGGTCGAGGCTGCGGTGGCTGGGGGCGGCCACTGCACTCCAGTCTGGGCGACAGAGTGAGACTCCAACTCAAAAAAAAAAAAAAAAAGTTAAAAGTATAAATGAACAAGTATAAATTTTGTAGTCTTTTACACTTTTTTGGATCAAGTATCACACGTATAAATTTGTTTCAGAGAAAGTCCTAACACCACATAAGCTTTATTCTGTTTCCAACTAAGTTTAAATCTAAGCTAAGTTCAACCAAAATTGGTAGGCACTTAATGACTATGTTGTGGTGTAAAATTTAAATTAATTTTATATTGAATGAGATAAACAAGACTTTCTAGTTTTAAAAAGGTCAAAGCAATCTTCTGAAGTTAATTCTTTAGATAAATTAAGCTGGGCGCAGTGGCTCATGCCTGTAATCCAGCACCGTGGGAGGCTGAGGTGAGAGCATTACCTGAGCCCACAGGTTCAAGCCCACCAGCCTGAGCAACATGGTGAAACCTTGTCTCTATAATAAATAAATAAATAAAAATTAGCTAGGCATGGTGGCGCATGCCTATAGTTCCAGCTGCTTGGAAGGCTGAGGCGGAAGGATCTCCTGAGTCCAGCAGGTTGACGCTGCAGTGGCCATGTGTAGTGTGACACTGCACTCCAGTCTAGGCGACGGACTGAGACTCTGACTCAGGGAAAAAAAAGAAAGAAAAATTAAATGCTAAAGTTTTTAGATGAAATCATTTTATTTTCAAGTCTGGAATCCTATTTTTACTATAGTATTTCTCATTTGCAGGAAGAAAAAAGGAGCTCAATGTTCCAAGCATAACTAGTAAAAACAAATTGAATTATGAAACTAAAAAGAAGCAAATGAAGCTGGGCACGGTGGCTCACACCCGTAATCCCAGCACTTTGGAGGCCGAGGCGGGACTGCTGAAGTCTAGTACTTCGAGACCAGTCTGGGCAACATAATGAGACTGTGTCTCTACAAAAAAATTTAAAAATTAGCCGGGCATGGTGGCACATGTCTGTAGTCCCAGCTACTCAGGAGGCCAAGGTGGAAGAATTGCCTGAGCCCAGGAAGTTGAAGCTGTAGCGAGTTGTGATCATGCCACTGCACTCCAGCCTGGGCCACAGCATGAGGCCCTTATAAATAAACAAACAATAAGGTTACTAAAAACTTTTCCATTTATAAATCTCATTCTACAGAACAGTTCGACTTCTTTAGTAATCTAACCATTCCTCAGTGCTCAGATTTGCTTCATATAGATTTACCATACACACACACACACACACACACACACACACAAAGATTTATTACACAATGAAACAACAGCTTTCAAAAGCACATGCAGCCCTTGTATATTATTTTCTTATGAGGTTTTTGAACTGCCAAGTCAAAATTAAGTTTAAAAGTATTTCCTTCATATTTAACAGGTGAGGCCTGGATCTAGGGAGCTTTGTTTTGAATTTAAAGAATGTTAACCTTAAACTGAAAATTAAATTGAATGAGGCAAGCAATGAGATACCTATGGCTATTCTTTTAATAAATATATACCAGTTATGTACAAGAGTTCTAGTGCCATTGTTAAATCTGTCCCTTTAAACTTCTGCAGCTTTTTCTAAGTTGAAAAAGAGGTTTTACAAAGCCTTTGTTGTCCTTCCCCTCATTATAACTACTCTTGCTATCTCCCAACTCTCTGCACCTTATATTTTACTTCAGACAAGAAGCTAAAGTAACAACCCTGGAAGGAAAGCTAAGGAAGGAAACAAGAACCAGAAGCGTTTACTCTTGCTCTATTTCCTTTCTCCAGGAAAATGTCAAAGAATATAGAATATCCTGCTAAATAATCTCCTATCACATCATTTCTCTAACATATGTTCACACTCCAAAAATGCATCTTCAAGATGCATTTGGCTTTCCTATTGTAAGTATATTACAATTTGAGTAAGTTTGTTTGAGTAGAAAACCACTTGTTATATGAATTAATTCCCAGACTCGTAGTACACAGAGCTATAATATCCACAAATACTTGTAAAACAATTCAAAACACATTATCAGAAGGACAGTTTTTAATATAGATATAAATGGGGATCATTGTTCTATAATTATGATTCTAACAATTTGTGCCCATATGAAATCTTACCCTTCTGGCTTTGTTTCCTAGACATTGCAGTTTCTTTGATCTCAAAAAATACAAGAGAAAAATATCCTTTTGCCTTGTCTGGGTTCTGAGTGTAGGTATCTCTGATTTAAAAGTGGGCAACAGACGTCTGGAGTTGGAAGCAATAAATACAAAATCCTGGCTGCTCGAAATTCTGCTCCCGAGTTGTTAATCTCCTTTCCTTCTCTTGTAGCAACTTCTTGTCAGGAAGTATCATTGCAGACATTCATGTCTTTTTCAGGGAGATTCTGGAAGATAAAACATAAACATACATTCACTAATACAGTAATCGTCATCTGTACAAAATTTCTGAGAGATATCTACAAGGCTTATTTTGTATTTCCCTATACAAAACTATTTTTTAAAGAATTCTAGAAAAAAACATAGCTGTTAAAAAGCAGTATTTTTCTTAAGAAAACGTAATCTTAGAATCAGATCATCTTCTTAGTCTAGACAGCATGTTTTCTTAGTCTTCTTAATCTTCTTTATCTATCTCAACCATCTCATCCCCATCCTTGCTTCACAAACTAAAATATTACCTCTTATCACTCCCTAAGATCTTTCTTATCACCTAATCTTCCCGTCCAAATCAAGAGTCTTTTCTCTTCCTCTAGAATTTCCTCTACCTAGCCTTCACTCGGGTTTCCCAGTTCAAATACAGCTGTAAGAAACTTGGGGTGGAGGAGGGGTGAGGGTATGAATGGGGAAATATAAAGGAATTTTAATATGGAAAACTGAAACATCAAAATGAAATTAGCTGATATAATAGGAAGCTCTTCTAAGTTATAAGGATACAAATGTTATTTGTTCCATATTACTGAACATTTAAAAATACATGCCCAGCCGGGCTCGGTGGCTCAGCCTGTAATCCCGTGCCTTTGGGAGGCTGAGGTGAGTGGATTGCCTGAGCCC